CTCTCTCTCTCTCTGTGTGTGTGTGTGTGGTTTTTCAAGACAGGGTTTGTCTGCCTTTTGATTGTCCTAAAACTCACTTTGTAGACTAGGCAGGCCTCAAACTCACAGAGATCCACCAGCCTCTGCCTCCTTGAGTGCTGGGATTAAAGGTGTGCACCACCACACCATGCCATTTGAAGGCAATCTAAAAGAAAAATGTGACTGGGGTAAGAAACTATAGAATAAGTAAGTAAATGAAAATGCATGAGGCACAAATTTTGTCCAGTCCAATTCAACTTTAACTCAGCACCTATATCATCTAAGATTCTGTAACAAGTCCAAACAAGAGACTCTTCCAAAGAAACATAATTGAAGGTATGGACTTATAGATCAATATGCTGATGATATGGACACACCATTCACTTACCTGAGAAAATCCTCCCAAAATAATTCTGTTAGAGGGAATGCCATTCTTTACCTCTTGATCTATCAAAGCTTTTACTAAAAACAAGAAAAATATAAATATTTTCAAAGTTAAGTCCACTGAGATAACTAAAAATCCGAGAAAAATAACAGAAGCAGAGTCTATTAAAGACAGAAGTGAATGACACCTTGAAGCATTCTACTTTAAAACACAAAGTGGCATGTAGTTTCATGATGTGACTCCTCGGGCTCTCCAGGGGTGGCTGAGCTTCACACTTCTATAACTTCCACCAAAGATAGTCTAACTCCAACACATACAGCTCTTTCTGTGCAGTTCTTAAAAACTACGTGTCTCAGGAAGTTAATCTGTTTTCACTCACAAAACAATACTTATAAAGGAGAATGGAATACCAACTTCACAGAACTGTTAAATGAGACAGTTTATAAGAAATGACTAGCTGGTAAGAAGCTAAGTGATGAGTCAGCGGAATCTATTATTACTTCACTAACATTAGCCATCCGTATGTCTTTTACTGTTAGTTACCTTTACGTCACTGTCATTACTTCAAGTTTCTTTAATACCTATATACAACTATCAAACACAGTACTCTTTTCTCCACTGCCTATCTGTTCTTGTTTTGAGACAGGGTTTGCTGTGCAATCCAGGCTGGCTATATCTCACAGCAATCCTCTTGCCTCAGCTTCCCAAGAGTTGCGATTATATATGGGCATCACAATACTCAGCTTTGCTTATGTCAATCAAAACAAAATCCCTGTCTGACAGAGCTCAAATTTGATAAATGACACTACTGACTACAGATAAGAGAGTGCATGTAGGTGGCAAAGGAAAGTAATGAGAATGGAGACAGTGTGCTTGTCTGGTATTTGTGAGGCCCTTGGCTAGTCCCCAATATGACAAAGGGAGGGAGGAACAGGACGGCAGGAAGTAAGGGAAAGGGACAAAAGGATTGGCTCTTAAAAACACATAACTATATCACATTTAATCAAAATTTAACTATTCAATCTACTAAAAACAATATTTAGTAAAAATTTAATGACTGAATCTACTAGAAACATTTATGAATGTGTTTGCCTTTACAAACACTTTTGGTACTCACCATTTTCTGCTGCCTGTTTAATTCCAGATTCATCCTCCTGAGAATCTGGTGAAAGTCCAATAATATCAAACCTGGAAAATAAGACCAAGAGAAAAGAACTGTTAGATTCTAAAAGCTCATACCTGGAAAATACGTTTACTAACTTCAAGTTAGTCTGTAGAGAAATGGACACTCACTAACTCTTCTTTCTGGATGTGCAGGGCATAAGAGGCATCTTGAGAGGGCTGCAAGGGAAATGACCTAAACATCAACTAGCCAACCAGGAAGGCAAGGAGTTAGCAGATCAAAGATGCTGTGGCGTAATCTGTGTGCATGTCTCATGAATCAAATGTTGGATTAATGATCCCAACAAACACCAAGCAGCAGGATAGATTTCTCTTTATTATTCACTCTTGTTTTTCTACCTTTTGTATAGCTTGTTAAGTTAACTCACAGTTATTAAGCATGAATACCAGAATAAAGGTTAAGTTTAAACTCTTAACAATAATGGAGAGGGTGCCTGAACTGGCCTTCCCCTGTAATCAGATTAGTGACTACCCTAATTGTCATCATAGAGCATTCATCCAGTGACTGGTGGAAGCAGATCCATGGCTAGGCACTGGGCTGAGCACATTGGGTTCAGTTGATGAAAGGAAGGAGGGACTGTATGGGGGGGAGGGGCGGGGGGGGAGGGTCAAGATCATGGAGGGGAAACCCACAGAGACAGCTGACCTGAGCTAGTGGGAGCTCATGGACTCTGGACTGACAGCTGGAAAACCTGCAGGAGACCAAACTAGGCCCTCTGAATGTGAGTGACAGTTGTGTGGCTTGGTCTGTCTGTGGGGCCCCTGGCAGTGGGACCCAAGATTTATCCCTGGTTTTTGAACTGGCTTTATGGAGCCCATTCCCTATGGAGAGATACATTGCTCAGCTTGATGTAGGGGGGAGGGGCTTGGGCATGCCTCTACCAGGCTTTGTTGACTCACCATGAAAGGCGTTACAGTCTCTGAGGAGTGGATGGGGGTTGGGGTAGGGGGAAGATGGGGAAGGAGTGGGAGGAAAGGAGAGAGGGGGAACTGTGGTTGGTATGTAACATGCAAAAAAAGTTTAAATAAAAAAAAAAAAAGAAAAACCAGTTAGGCTTAAATGTTCCCGTGCAATTAAAAAATGTCTAAAAAAACAAAAACAAAAAAAATAGGGGTGTACACAGGAGCTCTTCTGAAAAGATTAAGAGGTTTTGTTTTTAGTTTGTTTTTTTGAGAAAGTTTCTCCATGTAGCCCTGGCTGTTCTAGAACTCACACTGTAGACCATACTGGCCTTGAACTCACAGAGATCCACTTGTCTCTGCCTCCCCTCTGCCTCCCCAATGCTGGGACTAAAAGTGTGTATGCCAGCACTGCTCAATGACTAAAAGGTTCTTAATGAGAAAGCCAACTCTTACTTACCAGGAAGGCATAGCCATATTCATATTTAATGTAACAGGCATAATGGGCCTATGTGGGAAAGAAAGAAACCGCACATCAGGATAACAGAGCCAAGTATAACAGCATGGCTTTAACATGGGGTGCATTTCACATCTCTGTTCCCTTTGTCCCACAACTGTTTTCTGAAGACAGAACAGCTGTTGCAGAGGACTAAGTTGGCTCAGGACTAAACTTGGCTCATAACAAGTACTTTTTGTCTCAGTGGCCTTACTTAATAACTGTAACTTATAGGGACTGAGACAACTGGAAATATATACACAATAAGACTCTGGTAAGAGCAATTTATTGCTAGCTACTGTACCATTAATCTCCATATGCTTGTATTACATTGTTTATTTCCTAGTTATATACTTGCTTGATTAAGAAACCTAGAAATAAATATAAGTTCTACCTTAGTGTTCTTATGTCCAACTCAAATCTGGAATGAAAAATAGGCTGAGCAACCAAAAAAGTCTGGTACAAGAGGAAAGAAACATGACTATACTCTTAAGTTACCAATTCCACCCTCCTCCTGATTCATACAACAAAACCAATTCAACATTTTAGGAAAACAAACGTCCCCAGATTAGGAAACATCTTTACAGCAATTCAACTTAGGGGCAAATATGGTGAAAATTCAAATAGTCAAGAATTCTGTCTCTTGCTTGGGCTGGCCACTAAAGCGTTCAGCTGTAGCCTACAGAGCTAAGTCAGACTCTCTGCTGCCAGACAAGGAAACCCTCGGACTTCACTGCCCTATCCTGTCCCCTCAGTTGTCTTGTCATTTCTGAGGCATAAGCGTTAACCTTCTGGTGTGGACCCAATGCTTTTAGCTTCCCCTTGGCTGTTCTAAGTAACCTTTCACCTCAAGCTTATTGATTTTCTGAGTTTGCTCAAAACTTGCTAGTTCCCTGATACCAGAAAACATTTTCAGAGCTAGGTACTGAGATCCTGTTTATGACAGTGTATCACATTGTCTTTAATTAATAAAACCTGGGTGTCTTCAATTGCATGAAGATTTCTCACAAATCTAGCCAGTAACCTGTTTATAGATAACACAAGGGTATCCTTGGAACTCTGCAGGTACTTATATATCTAAAAGAATTGTTGTGGTTTTAAGTTCATCTGACCTCTAGAAGAATATCTTAAATTTCAAAAAAGGGATTTTTTTTTCAATTTAACCAAGAGACTATTTTAGCTTTAAGGAGTGTTAGTAGTCTTTTTTTACCTAAGAGGGAAAAAATTGCATTCAAATATTTTCCTGGAAAAGCAAACCTATTACAATTTGTTCTAGATTCTGAAGAAAAAAACCTAAATATTAGAAATACTCACGCATGTGGACAGATGTATTTGATGTGGGAACTTCTGATACCTGCAAAGGCTTCTGCCCATCCGTGCCTGGTAGAAAAATTATTAAAACCATGCTAGTAAATACTGTTTTAAATTCTAGTAAACTGATACAGAACTGATATTTAATGCTTCTATGAGGTCAAAGGTTAGCTCCTTAGAGTACTGTATGAGTGAGGAGATTGTGTTACTGAGCACCACTGCTGACCTGGGAGCAATGGCCATTCTCTAACATTTGCCTCCATAGAGAAGGATGCTCTCGTGAGTTCTGACTGTCAACAGACACTGTTGTTAGATGATACGATTTGATACATTAAAAAACTTCAAAAAACTCCAGGAAAGTAGCTGTATACAAAACCAACACTAAAATCCACAGGCTTCCGATATACAAATGACATATTGAAAAGGAAATCAGAAACAGTACCTTTCACAACTGCCTCAATTATATATATTCTGAATATATATTCTAAAAACTATGTGTTCAAAATATAGTTATTCTAAGATACACACACACACACACACACACAGACACACACACACACATCTTTTAATGAACAAATGAAAGACCTGTATAATAAAAACTTTAAGACACTAAACAAAGAAATGAAGAAGACAACAGAAGATGGAATAACTGCCCACACTCATGAGTTGGTAGGATTAACACTGTGAAAATGGCCATCCTACTAAAAGGAATCTACAGATTAAATGAAATCCCCATCAAAATTCCAACAATTCTTCATAGAAGTTGAAAATAATAATCTCAAAACTCATAAGGAAATAAAAATGACCAACGACAGTTAAAACAATCTAAGCGATAAAAACACTGCTGGAAGGATCCCCCATCCTTGACTTCAAGTGATACTACAGAGCTATAGTAATAACAACAGCATGGCATTGGCATAAAAACAAAACACATTGACAAATGGAATATAATAGAAGACTCAGATAAAAGCATACACTCCTATAGCCACCTGATTCTTGATAAAGAGGCTAAAAAATACACATTGGAGAAAAGACATTATCTCCAACAAATGGTGCTGATCACACTGGCCAGCTACATACAGAAGAATGAAACCGAGCCTCATCAATCACTCTACAGAAAATTCAACTCCAAGTGGATCAAGGACATTAACTGTCAGACACTAGTACTGACCTATCCAAGGGTTCTTGGAGGGGAGGAGTGAGGAATGAAGAATTAGATAGAAATATAAGCCTAGATGACGAGAAAGACAGAGATACAGGATAGCTTTGGGAGGGTCCTGGGTCAATATCCAGCAACCCCTAGTTTAATCATGATGGGCTTTTTATACATCAGCAAGGGGAGGAGCAAAAGACCCCCCCCATTCCAAGGTCAAGGTATACATTATCAACAAGTGTAGACCCTTCAAAACATCTGGTAACCATGCCCTTGGCCAAATCATCCGATTATGCAGCCCTGCTGGGCAAAGCAAGCTCAGACTTTCTGACCTTGAGTAAGGCCTTACTAGGAAGCCTCTGTGAGCCCCCATAATTAACAATTAACATAAGACATAATACCTTAAACTGATAGAAAAGAGAAAGTATGGAATACACTCAATCTCATTGACACAGTAAAGGACTTTCTGAATAGGACACAGGCATTAAGACTAACAATAAATGGGACCTCAGGAAACTTAGTTTCTGTACAGCTAAGGACACAATCATTTAAGCAAAGAGGTAGCCTACAGAATAGGAAAAAAATCTTTACCAATCACATAGTAACTAGAATATAAGAGAACTAAAACAAAACTCCAAAGTACTGGAACGTCAAAAAAATAACCTAATTTAAAGAACTAACACATAGTTATAAAAAGATTAAATAAATACTAGTGGCTGAGAAACATTTCAAGAAATGTACAACATCCTGAATCATCAGAAAATACAAATTATTTTCAGATTTCATCTTAGCCCAATTCAAAATGTTCACAATTAATAAAAACAAATGGCAGTACATGTTGGTGAGGCTGTGGGGGAAAGGGGAACACTTATTCATTGTGTGAGTGCAAACTTGTACAGTCACTATGAAACTCTGGAGGTTCCTCAAGAAGCTGGGAATCAACTTCCCTCAAGACCCAGCTACACCACTCTTGGGCATATACACAAAGGATTCTACATCCTACTACAGAAACACTTGCTCATCCATGTTCTCTGCAGCTCTATTCATAATAGCCAGAAATGGAAAACAATTGGATGTCCATCAACAAATGAATGTAAAATGAAAATGTGGTATATTTATACAATGGTACATTACACAATTCAGCAGATAAGAAAAATTATATCATAGAATTTTCAGGTAAATGGATGGAGCTGAAACAATCATCCTGCACTGTTTTTAACTAAATCTCTATCATTCTATTTTACCATTAAAGACAACGGGGTGAAAATCTGCTAGTTCAGAGGTAGAGAAAACACCCAGCTGACCTTCCTCCTCTGCCAACGTCCCAGAAATACAGCTTTCTCCTAAACTGTCTCAAACAAAACTCCTCAAACTGAATGTCCCTCCCTTCTACTTCCTGTGCATCTATCAGTCCTCCTGACTCCCTCTTACTCTGTTTTACTTCTGCCAACTGGTTGCTCTGCCTCTTAACCTATGGTTGACTTTAATTTAACCCTGTTTACAATATTCAAACAGAAAGCTCTTGAATTAAAGGTGCATGCTAGGGCTGAGGGACACCACAACTAGAAACAGGATTTTCCCTTTACAAACCCTTCATTCTGGGGGCTCAGGCCGTCCTCCTCCTCTCACTGTGTTGGAGTGCTGGAACATGGACCAAGCCTGGGCTTGTAATCAATAAAACCCCTTTGTGTTTGCATCAGACATCGGCTCTGTGGTGGTCATGCTTAGAACCCTCGTGGTTTTTGCAGACCCTGCCCTAGGGGGAGGACCAGCGAGGGGTACCTGGAGATGGAGAGGAGAAGCTCCTGATCCTGGTGGGGTTGCCCTTCCCCTAAGAGCTGTCGGTCCTCCGATCGAGATGAAAATCAGCCTTTTCACTACTGGCCCTTTGCAACCAGTGACCTATACAACTGGAAATCTCAGAATGCCCCTTTTTCTGAGAACCCCCAAGACCTGATTAACCTTCTTGATACTGTCCTCTTTATATACCATCCCACTTGGGATGATTGCAACAGCTTTTACAGGTGCTGTTTATCATGGAAGAGAGGGATCAAATCCAACTGGAAGCCCGGAAATGGGTTCCAGGCCCCAATGGAGAGCTCACAACTAACCTGCCTCTCATAGATGCTGGATTCCCCTAACCCGTCCTGAGGGAGATTACAATACAGAGCAAGGTAAGGGGAAGTGCCTAGTCTATTGCCAGGCTCTATTGGTGGGTCTCAAAGCAGCTGTGTGTTGGCCTGCAAATTTAAGCAAGGTCTATGATGTTAGGCAATGTGAAAATGAAAGTCCAGCTGCATTTCTGGAGCAACTATAGGATGCTTTCAGGAGATACACCACGTATGATCCAGAGTCGCAGGAAAATAAAGCTACCTTGACTCTGACCTTTATCAATCAGGCAGCTCCAGGTATTAGAAGGAAACTACAGAAGTTAGAGTGCTTAGGACACAAAAGCATTAGAGATTTAGTTACAGTGGCTGAGAAAGTGTATAATGGAAGAGAAAGTGTTGAGGTGACAGATAAAGAAGGAAAAGCATCAGAACCAGCATCTAGCTAGTGTTCTACTAGCCACTACTGCTTATCCTGACGCATGTCGAAAGAGGCTGCGACAATTAGCGGAAGAAAGACCAAGAAGTCACAGAGGACCCTGGCTAGGGAGGAACCAGTGTGCTTGTTGCAGGAAGGAAGGGCATTGGGCAAAAGACTGCCCTGAGAAGATGATTCAGGGCAACATCAAAGTCCTTAGCCAGAGAGAAATGGACAGTGATTAGGGGAGACAGGGTCCGACCCCACCTCCCTGATCCTAGGGTAAACCTAAAAGTGGAGGGGAAAAGGACTGATTTCATGGTGGACACGGGAACTCAAAATTCAGTATTAAAGGCCAATGGGCCCATGACAGACAAACGAACTTGAGTCCAAGGGACCACAGGGGATAAGCTCTATTCATGGACTACCCAATGAACAGTGAACTTAGGAGCGGGATGGATAACTCACTCATTTCTGGTATTTCTAGAATGCCCATATCCTCATTAGGGTGTGATTTACTGACTAAAATGAAAGCTCAGATACATTTTTCTGATGAAGGAGCTAAATTGCTCAGTGAAAATGGGAAAGCTACTCATGTGTTGGTAACCACATGACTGAAGAATATAGATTACACCAAGTGGCTCCCACACCTGACCCCAGACTGGAGGAATGGTTCCAGGAGTTTCCATCAGCCTGGGCTGAGACCTGGGGATGGGGCTGGCAGCACATCGTCCCCAGGTCTATGTTAAAATCAAGCCAGGGGCAGATCCAGTAAAAGTCCGTCAGTACCCCATGCCCTTAGGCGATTGACTTGGAAATCCTCTGGCCTGTGCAATCAGCCTGTAACACACCCCTGCTGCTTGTTAAGAAGCCCTATACTAATGAGGCCAGTCCAAGATCTGAGGGAGGTCAATAAAAGGATGATTGACATCCACCCAACAGTCCCGAACCCTTACACCTTGCTCAGCTCCCTACCTGCTGACCGACAATGGTGCACAGTCCTACATCTGAAGGATGCTTTCTTCAGTCTGCCTCTGGCTCCCAAAAGTCAGCAGTACTTTGCCTTCGAATGGCATGACCCAAACACTGGTGTCAGTGGCCAGCTGACATGGACTAGGCTGCCACAAAAATTCAAAAATTCTACCATCTTTGATGAAGCACTGCATGAAAACCTGGATGAGTACCTCCTGGAGAACCCTGAAGTTAGTCTCTTCCAGTATGTGGGTGATCTGCTAATCGCAGCTGCCAACTGGGAAAGCTGCCTTGAAGGGACTAAGCAACTACTCTTGTGCTTTGGGAAGTTTGGGATGTCGAGCCTTGACCAAGAAAGCCCAGCTCTGTCAACAAGTAACATACTTGGGGTACGTCCTGAAGGGAGGACAGCGGTGGC